TAATGATTATCATCAATTATTAAATATGATTTAATGATTATGATTTAATGGACATGTATTAATTCTTTCTGCATAGCTCTCATCCCTGGCATATGTCACAGAAAGAACTTTCTGCAGGAAGGAAAACATTACCAATTGGACTTCAAACCTGGACTCCTCTCACCAGGCACCTTTTCTGGGGTAAATCAGACTGGCAGCACTTAGCTGTGCGTGGTTCTGTGTGTCACAGGCTTCAGGGCACGGTTAGTGGCTGGAATGCATTGGATCGCACAGTGGAACCCTCCATGCATTCTGGGGCGGGAGGGGGAGTGCCGCCGCCATTCAAGTCAATGGCACCACTAACACACCCCCACCACCACTGATTGCCGCACCAGAACACGTGCCACAGCAATGCCTGCGTTCCGGTGCAATTGCAAAAAAAAAATATTGAATGATAACGCCGTGTCCCCTCCTGCCCCAGAATGCAGGGGAGGCTTCCACTATGCAATACAGTGCGTTCCAGCCACTAACCGCGCTGGAACGCACTGGAGATGGTGTGAACCAGCCCTAAATTGGTTTGCTAACACCCCCCCTCCCCCCCATCGTTGTGCACGGGGCAGCTGCACCGTCTCCCCATCCACCCAGTTGTTATGCCACTGACTCCAATGCACACAGACACGGTATACATGCAACACAAAATACACACACGGTATACATGCAATACAATAAGCACACATTACATATGCAACAAATACGCACATGTTACACATACAACACATAGTAACGACACGGCACAAATACAACGCATAGGACACATTACTTACACTTGTTGTATCTCTCTGATCAGCCCGTCCACAATCCACTATGTGGAGCCCGGGGAGGAGGAGGCTGGGACATGGGGGCGGCGGAGGGTCCCAAATGGAAACAGTTCCCCCACTCTCAGGACTCCAGGTGACGCCGGAACGGCCCTATTCATCCCGGGGAGGAAGAGATCATCCAAGGGAAGAACTCTGGGTGACGCTGGAACAGCCCTATTCATCCCGGGGAGGAAGAGATCATCCAGGGGAAGAACTCTGGGTGACGCTGGAACAGCCCTATTCATCCCGGGGAGGAGATCATCCATGGAAGGAGGAGGCCGCGGGTCCTCGGGAAGTGCCCGGTCAGATGGTCAGCATGAGAGTGGAGGGGAGCAAGCAACCCAACTAATCGATAATCAAAATCGCTGACAATGATTTTCATTATCGATTATTATTGACTTTATCGATTAGTTTCAGTCCTAGTGGAGTCGCTCATCACAGCGGCTGTAGCAGGAACCAGAAGATCGCTGCAAGACACTCTACTAGCTACAACAACTACAGTATTTTACAACCCCGTGGCTCTGTCAGGGATAATTTATGCATTCTATATCAATTTATCTCTTTAGCTAAGCTTTATTGGCAAATGCATTTTAGCATTGCCAAAGCATATGGGGAGTTAGCTCTCTTTCTCTTGCTAAAGTTTTAAGTAAAATGGCAAATTCATTCCTTGGCAGAAATCCAAAAGCTTATCCCCCTCCATCAAAGCCCCTACTATTGAGTTGTTTCATGAGCTACTAAACCATCACCTGGACAGCTACAAGGTTTCCTCAGTCATGATGCAGCCAAACTTCAGAAACCCAGAACTTTCCAACACAGGCCATGAAAAAAAAAACCCACAGGTGCAGACAAACCTCAGAAATCCATAAAAAGCAATGGGTTTCCAAAACTGCATGAAAGGAGTCAGAAAAGTGGTGGTACCTTTTAAGATGCTCAAAGGCACTGCTGAAACAGCTTTCTGGCAGCGGATTGGAGTGCGGAAAGGGGACACACGTGGGTAGGTTTTCCACTTTCACTCTCTTTAAAGTTATTTTAGGAAGGATCTAGTGAAGCTGACAAAACACTGCCTCATTCATTGCTCAATACCCAGCTACGACACTAGAGGGCAGAGTTGCAGCGTGGAAACTCAACATGCATCCTTCAGTCACCCTCTCACATAGCTGTACTATTAAAGTGACACGAAACTCGAGAGCTAACCCTAAAAATACATTCAAGTACCTTAATCATTAACAACAATGTATCCTATATGTATATCACTCGGCTGTAGATCCTCCAATCATCTCTGAATTGGTGCCGACACCGTCCTTTCTGGAGGGGGGCTACTTTTGTTCCCCATGGTCCCTGTGTGTGTTGTAAAGTGGTTACCGCTCCAAGCTCGCTCCTGTGATGGACTACAATCTCAATACAAATTAGTAAACTAGATGTGAGCTGTAGTCCATCCCGGGAGTGAGTTTGGAGCGGTGGCTACTTTAGAACACACACAGGGACCATGGGGAACAAAAGTAGCCCCCCTCCAGAAGGAAGGACAGTGTCAGCACCAATTCAGCGATGATTGGAGGATCCACAGCCAAGTGATACACAAATAAGATACATTTTTGTTAATAGTTAAAAGGAGAACTATGAGGTGAGTGATTTCCACTCGTCATAGTTCGAGCTGACAGGCGACAATGAAACTGTCGCACGTCGGCTCAATACATCTGGAAGTGAGCAAACACATACCGCCGCTCACTCACTTCTGGATCATCTCACTGCAGAGAGCGGTGACCGTCAGTCACAGCTCCCTGCAGAGATCCCCCCTCTCCGATCCTCCAGCGCTGACTGGAGGAACTGACGGGGGGGGGGGGGGGGGGGAAGGCGGGGGGGGGGGGGGGGGGGGCACAGCTGGCTCTGCGTCTACATAGGCAGAGCCAGCTGTCACTCACGCAGTGGGTGGATCTCGACAGGATTGTCAGGATCCGTCCCGGCTGCGGCGCTCTCAGTATACCACAAGCTGTAGTTCGCGATACTGAGCTTTGGGTCACGTGAGGACGCTAGTATATATCCTCCCATGACCCTTAAGAGAACTATGGGGAAAAACATAGTTCTCTTTTAAGGTACATGAATGCATTTTTAAGATTGAACTCTTGAGTTTAGTGTCACTTCAATATTGTAATATCTAATGAAGCCTAAAATCATAAAGGGGCACAGAAAATGGTACATTATATTTCTAGTTTTTTAGCTGCTCAGCGGTTTAGCCCCCCCCCCGGAACCTTTGCAAGGTAAATCTTTTGGGAAATGTTTCTTATATTATGAATGTATTGTGCTGGAGCGCTGTGACCAGATTCATGGCCATACAAAGACATGCAGAGCTCTCTCTGAGGGAAGACAGGTACTCACAGCTCTCACTCGTTTTAGCCGCTCCTCCAACTTCTGTTCCGCTTCACGGTCTCTCAGAACTCCCTCCAAGCGACTTATTAGCTCAGCAGCAAATTTTTCAGGATCAACATGAATATCCTTTGGTATGTGATATGTACGCTGCAGGGACAAAAAGAGTACCATGCAGTGTGAAGCTATTTGTAGGTTAGCAGACATTGGGCATGCTCAGGAAAAAATAACATTTCAGTCAATCCCAAATCATCTTACAGTGACTTGCATTGAACGAAAAAGCAAAAGTGTGTGTTAAACAGGAAACCGAGCTGCCTCTAGTGATTAAACATATACCAGAAAAAACAAGGGTACCGTGTATCCAAACACAAAAGATTACCTGTCTTCAGATGTGATGATGCAATAATTTACTTTTTTTCCCCTTCATATGATAATCCCACCAGAAACATTTTCTGCCCTACAATGACAACGTTCAATGCACTGTATCTACTGAGGGACAGCGTTGTCATCCTAAGCTGTTCTCCTGATCTGGACTACAAACACCTCCCCCTCTACTCATCTCCACTACATTAAGAGGTGAGGTTGGCTAGTACAGACTTAAAAATCAGATTAGAGGTTTCTCTGTGGTGCGCAGGTAATGACAAGGACTAAAGATTTCTGGTAGGATCCACAGGTATTATTCTGTACTTGCAGAAAACATACCTAGCCTGAAAAAAGAAATCTGATGCAGATACCACATCTAAGGAGTGATCAGCTGCTGTGCATTACATTCGTCTTCCTGGGTTATACTTTAATCAGGAACAGACCAATATGCTATCCTAATTGTAAGACATCATTGTAATGTTCCCATGTGCAGGCCAATCTAGGTTGATGAAAATTGGGCTCATGCTGGTTCCAGGACGTGGACCTGAATTCCTGAACCGAGCACAGGAAGTGTATTACTGACAGGATCAGCAGGTGAAAATGAAGAATGAAAGCCTAAACAATGAAAACTAATGCAGCCACCACATCTAAGGACCGATAAGATGCAACAGAGGATGTGTTTGCTGCAAGGTTTAGATCAGCCCTTTATAATCAGCATGCCATGGCACCCTGGGGTCCCTTCTGGCTTCATCAGGGGTGCTTAGAAATGTTTGCATAGTGTCATGCCATATGGTGCAACCAGGCATCTGAGGCGAGAGGGGGGCATTTGACGCGAGAGGGGGGCATTTGACGCCAGAGGGGGGCATTTTGAAAGGGGGGACTTTGATGTGATGGGGAAACCCCATTTTGTGTATTTTCCTGGGGTCCCCCCTTAAAATCCATGACACATATATGAGATAAGGATCTGGAATGGGGGACACTGCGATGTGAAAGGGGAGACTGGGTTGCGTGTATTTGCCTGAAATCCCCACTTACAATACATGAGACTTCTATCTGAGATAAGGGTCTGGAAGGGGGGCTTCTGATGTGAAGAGTAGAGGTGCACCGAAATTGAATTTTTAAAACTGAAACGAAACCGAAATAAAAAAAATGTCAGGCCGAAACCGAAAATGTTTTTTATTTTTTCAATTTTTTTAAAATATTTTTTTTAATAAACTTTTAAATTTTTTTATATTT